AGGCATCGCCTAGTCGCCTCCTGGGCGCGTTCCGGGTCATTTCNGTTTTTTTTTTGTTCCTCCGCCATGCCGGCCAATCCGGGTGCGGCGCACACAGCAGCGTGCGGGGGGGCTTTGCGTGGTGGGCACGCGCCAACCGCGCGGGGTGGGTGCGTGTGTGTGCGAGGGGCGGGTGGGGTTGGGCGGGGGATGCGGCGCCGAACTCCGAGCCCAGCGGGCGGTGGAAGCGAATCCGGGCGGACGGACGCAGGGCCTCCGGGATGCCACGGGCGGGCCCCGCAGAGTGTGGGGATGACGCGTTCTTCCGGGCTGCGCCGAAGGCCGTGAGGAGGAAGAAGAGTAAGCGGCACGCAGCTCCGCCGCCGAGTCAGGCACGATGCTGCCGCCGATGCGGGGCGAATCGGGCACTGCGGCACGACGAGGCGAGTGAATCCGCAAACGGAGAGGCGTGTGCACACAACAGCAAAAAAGAAGAAAAAAAACACACACCATGAGGCCCCGGAAGGAGCCGAGGGGCCCTCCCCAAGACGAACAAGAGAGAGAGCGATGCGCAGAGAGCGGCGAGGTGCGTCGGCATCGGCGGGGAGGGCGCACAGTGAATGCACACACAATCATCCAAGAGATGAAGGGAAACAACGACAATGTTAAACCGCCCCCGCAAGAAGAGAGACACAGAAAAACAATCATCCAAGAGATGAAGGGAAACAACGACAATGTTAAACCGCCCCCGCAAGAAGAGAGACACAGAAAACACTCTCCAGCCGCGCGGAACGACGGCGCACACGATGACACGAGGCGCCGCGGCACACGCAGCAGCAGCGGTGATGGCGATGATGATGGCACACGATCCCGACCCTCGATGGCCGCGACGGCGGGTTAGGGTGAGGGTGAGGGTGAGGGTGAGGGTGAGGGTGAGGGTGAGGGTGAGGGTGAGGGTGAGGGTGAGGGTGAGGGTGAGGGTGAGGGTTAGGTAGGTAGGTAGGTAGGTAGGTAGGTAGGTAGGTAGGTGAGGGTGAGGGTGAGGGTGAGGGTGAGGGTGAGGGTGAGGGTT